TAAACTACTGTAGAGCCGCCGCCTGTACAGTGACCCGCAGTGGGAGCCGGCTCTGCAAAGAAAGAATGTGTCCGTGTCTCTGTGCTAGACCTCTACCACACACACAGACTGTAGAAGGTAGAGTGTGTTGGTGGTCTGTGATACTGCTAGACATCTACCACTCTGTACGGTTACCGTACTCAAGGCACTAGTGCCCCTGTGGGCACTATTTCTCAAAGTCCAGCAAAGACGGGGCACTATTCAAGAGATGGCACTACTTTTCAAAGCTAGGACAATTACTTCACCGAGCATAAAGACGAAGAAAACAAAGAAGAGCAGATTCTAAACTGGCTGCATGTGTATATGGAAGTGTTGCTGCTGAAATTTAAGAGAAGCATGACTCACGAAGAAACTGAGTAAAGAACTGTGATCTTGATTATGAAACCACCAGTGCATAAAACTGGCCCGAAAATATAGATTTATATAAACTGTTTTATTTTTCAAGTAATTGTAGCCAAGAGGCTGTTTTGCATGATGGTGTATGATTTTGTCAGCAAGGCTCTCCGAGACAGGGGTAGTATATGAGACAGGGGGCACTATTCGATACAGGGGCACTATTCGAGACAGGGTTCTAATCACATGAGTACGGTACTCACTGAGACAAGCAGAGCAAAAGTGGGCTGCAATAGTCTGCACTGTAAAGTGTTTTGTGAAAGAATTCTCTAGCAGGAAATGGAAACTATCACGAAAAATTCCGCTGTTTGACTACTGTCTGCATGCCTATCTTTATCCTGTGTTTACTTGTCTTTGTGTATGTGTTTTGTGTGTGTGTGTGTGTGTGTGTGTGTGTGTGTGTGTGTGTGTGTGTGTGTGTGTGTGTGTGTGTGTGTGTGTGTGTGTGTGTGTGTGTGTGTGTGTGTGTGTGTGTGTGTGCGCGCGCGCGCGTGTGTGCATGTGTGTGTATATGTGTGCGGGTGTGCGCGCGTGTGTGCGCGCGCCTGCATCCATGCATTCCGTGACTGCAGGCCGACTGCCAAGATGATCTGGATAACTTCAACTTGGTTGGCATGATGTGCGGACTGGCAATCTACAACAATGTGATCATTGATGTGCCCTTCCCAATGGTACTCTATCACAAACTCATGACCACGTAAGGAAAATTCCTTTTTTCTCATCCTGCGTCAGTAACAGTAAAATATTGCCACAGAGCTTTCGGCCATACTACATCCTCTACCCGTCGTCACCAAGCACTCTTAACCGAACCAATGCACAAAGCATTAAAAAAAACAGCAGAGCAAGGACACTTCCGTTGACAGATAATTTGTACGCCTCTAGTCAGCTGTTTTGCAGACGGGTGGAGGACGTCTTCAGTAACATTGACTAAAAACAATAAGAGATTACAGGACTGTTGACGATAAGAGAGAAGTCAACATTGTGCATATACATGCATGGTGAAAAGATGGCATCCCTACCCTTGCCTTTCCCCTACCCTTGCCTTTCCCCTACCCTTGCCTTTCCCCTACCCTTGCCTTTCCCCTACCCTTGCCTTTCCCCTGCCCTTGCCTTTCCCCTACCCTTGCCTTTCCCCTACCCTTGCCTTTCCCCTACCCTTGCCTTTCCCCTACCCTTGCCTTTCCCCTACCCTTGCCTTTCCCCTACCCTTGCCTTCCCCTACCCTTGCCTTTCCCCTACCCTTGCCTTTCCCCTACCCTTGCCTTTCCCCTAGCCTTGCCTTTCCCCTACCCTTGCCTTTCCCCTACCCTTGCCTTTCAAGACACTGCAATAAAGACACCGTTGTCCTGCTAGTTTTGAAATTGCAAGTACAGTCAGACCAAGCTTATCCGGTCCTCGCTTATCCGGATCCCTCGCCATCCGGAAGAAAATCGTTGGTTACCGATTTACAGCATATGCCATGCATACATACAGTATGTGTGTTCAATTATCCGGTTCCCTCGCCTATCCGGATATTTTTGTGGGAAACGGCTGTGCGCGGTTAAACGAGGTCTGACTGCACTGGGGGTTGGCATGTCTGCATTGACCATCAGAGACTCTACATCACTGGGGCCTACTGAACAGTTACCGGGTATGACTTATCCTTGAGAGCTGACACATGTCTTCAAGACTGTTGTAAAATCTGTGTTGAGCAAACTTCCAATACACTTTAGTCTTACTTCATCTCGCTGCTTCACTGTCAACAGCCAGGGACGACCAGAGAGCAGAAGGGTACTGCCAGCTGTTCTCCAGTTATGATGTTCTAAGCACGGTGTGTCCTGAATGCAGTCTTTCTTTCTGTGTTGTGTTACTGGGCTTAATGATGGATGGCGTACATGTATCACTGGTCAATGCATTGTGATGATGGCGGTGGCGATTGTGTGATGTGTACATGTGCGTGCGTACGCGTGTGTGCATGCGTGTGCGTGCTTGTGTGCGTGAGTGCGTGCGTGTGTGTGTGTGTGTGTGTGTGTGTGTGTGTGTGTGTGTGTGTGTGTGTGTGTACAGGTACAAAAACTCCGCTGCTTACCAAGAGGCACGATCCCGCTCCAAAGCAGGTCCGAAACAAATGTAAGTTGGGTAGGTTGATTCCGTGGCTGAATTTTGCCCAGTGGGGATGGTTATTGGTTTCACAGGCATGGAGCGGAGAGTTCAGAAGAGAAAGGCCTCCATGCAAGACAGTGCCCTCTGCTATTTTCTCATGGTTAGCAAGTGATTAACTTAATTAAACACATCTACAGATCACCTCTCTTCATGTGGCCATCTACAAGTACTGTTAATGTTACTGCTAACTGTGTTCTGTGTAGACTGTACATGATTATGTGAGTGTGTGCGTGTGTGCGTGCGTGTGTGCTTGTGTGCTGCTACATTCCTCCTCTGCATGTATGTTGATCAACTAGTGAGCTGTCAAGAACTACGGAGTAAGTAGATTATTTGTACTGCAAGTAGCTGTACTCTATATCACACTATTGCCATTTCTCTCTGGCCTAGTCTAGGACATGAGATAATGACGTCAGAAGTAAAACAAAATTATCAACAAAATGACGACTTCTGGATCCACTCTGCCCATAGTGCAAAGTACATGATGTGGTGGGTAGGCACTTGTGTCGCACACGGGTGTAAATTTGTCTGTATCAGGAGTGGATCCCTGCCGAGGAGGGCTCAGTCCAGCTACAACTGGTGGCGGATGTGTCACCCTGCTGTGATGGGAAACCACCCAAGCATGTATGGACCTATGCGAAAACTGGATCCAAACGGATCCGAAAGTCAGCGTTGTCGTGACTCCGGGCTGGCTGTGCTGTAGCACTTTCAAACCCTATTGTCTAGATTGCAGCTAGTGCTCACTGCTTGACAGCAGGAGGACATGTTCTGATGCTGCCTTCTAGGAGTGCCATATATGCAGCATGATCCTGTATTTGGCGGGAAGTACTGCCGACATTTCGCAGTGTACTCTACAGGCTGTCTGGCCAAGTCATGTGTCTGACTTCAAAGTACATGTGTAGTTGTGTACATGTACGTCACATGTAACCCTGCCCTAATACAGTGGTGTGGTGGTGATTGAAATCCAGCCTCATGGGTATGTGCCTGTCATGTGTCTTCGCTGCCTTTTGTGTGTCATTGATGATGCTTGACAGAATCGCATGTTATACCCAGAGTGCAGATTTCCGTATGTTTGCCAGCCTGGAGCCACAAGTAGCCAGGTAAGACATAGTGATAGCTGTTCAGTCTTGCCACTGCCTGTATGTACCTGTAGTTATGCCTAGGTTAGCCGTAGCAGACTTCAAACGTGTGCGCTGCCAATGGCAGACTGCAAGATCCGTTTGGATGTCAGTGTCGGACTTGTGCGGCAATGGATTCTTGCTAAAGGCGGAGGATCAATCATACACTTTCCCTGGTTGTATTTGTGGGGTTGGGTTTGTGTGCTGTGCAGCAAAATATATTCTTCTGTGTATGGCAGTGCTGGACAGGGTGTTGCCTTGCAGTTACGGTGGGCAGTGCACAGTGACCAGTCCACAGGGGGCAGTGCACAATGGGCAGGGAGCAGTCCACAGTGAGCAGTCCACAGTGAGCAGTGCAGTGAGCAGTGGGCAGGGACCAGTGAGCAGTGAGCAGTCCACAGTGAGCAGTGGGCAGGGACCAGTGAGCAGTGAGCAGTCCACAGTGAGCAGTCCACAGTGAGCAGTGGGCAGTGGGCAGTGCACAGTGGGCAGTGAGCAATGAGCAGTGGGCAGTACCCATACTTGTCTTTTCTATTCTGTTGTGCTTTACAGGCGCTTTCGCAATATGCTATCATCGTCAGATGATGTGTCTGAGCTCGAGATCTTTTTTGAGGTAAGGTACCCCGTGGCATCTACATTATGAATTCATGGCTTTCTCTCGGTGTGTCCATCACCGCGGTAGAGTATGTAGCACTGCCCATCACAACACAGCTCCATAGCCAAGACCATGCGACTGTGCATATGGGTCAGTGCGCGGCACACTGCCCTCATGACGTAGTCTGCCTGCATCATGCCCTGCGATCATGCACTCAAACCCACGATCTCTCATGTCAGCACATCCGTTTTGTTTGATTCTTTTCAGCACCTGCACGATCTCCAAGTCCTAGATGCATAAACTCCAGTCCCCTAGGAAAGTTAGTTTCAAGCCACAAGGAATGTGTGGTGTTTGGTTTTCCATAGTGAGCGGATGTAGCGGCATGATGCAATGAAATGGCTACTGCAAAAGTGGAAAGTTTTGGTGGGAACTTGTTTTCGGTATCAGATGCTAGCATCTACATGATATAATTCACTGAATAGTACTAAAGCGTAATTATCTCTTAATTTGCTGGCCGAAAATCCTATATATAGGATTTGAAAATGTTTGCCTTTTATGCCGTTGTTATTGGTCATAACGACCAATAATAACGACATAATGGTTTTCATGGAAGTTGTAAATATGTTTGAGGCATGAATGTTTACATTTTAGATTCATAGGGCGATAATATTTCTGATGAATACCCATTTTTAGCAATAATTGGAAATTTGAGCATAATTGTTCAGCTGCTGTCATGGAAAGGACTGAAGCAGTGAATGTGCAGAAGAACATTGCAGGTGTGGCACGGGGTGGTTTCATGACGACATATCGCACATGCCGTCATGAAACTACCAGTTTTAAGGATAAAACAAAGTCCAATAAAATCTCAAATCCTATATATAGGATTCGAAAAATAGGGCACAGGCCTTAGTAATATTGGGCAAGGAGATGAGCCTGAGATGTTAGTGTTTGAAAAAATTATCTTATTCAACTCTCGATATCTACTAAGACCTAGCAAGGAAAAATTGGTCACATACTTTTTGCTATTCTCATGCCACACCCATTTTGAGTTGAAAAATATGACCAAAATCCTATATATAGGATTTAGCAAATTAAGAGATAAAGAAGTAGATTGAATGTATGAGATGCCACACCGACACCATATTCTTACCTACTGCTGTGTTATTGCAACAGCACTTAGGATAAATACCCATGCGCATTCTCTCAGCCCAACACAACCATCACACTCGTGGTAGAAACTACAAACTATACTTGATGAAGACAGAAGGAGAAGTGGAGAACACAGGGAACAGAGTAGGCATGTAAACAGCACAGGCACGCAACAGTTACCGCTGGTGCATACGAGGTGCATGTGTGTACGCGAAGGTGTGAAATAGGTAGCGGGGTCAAATTACATATGGATGCACAATGCCAAATGTATAGGCACAGGTAGGTGACTGTACACCTGCAACTGCCAAACTTTGGTTCCACCTGAATGTTCTACTTGCACAGACACTGTATGGTCAGGGTGTATGTATTGCAGGGTGTATTGCAGGGTGTATGTATTGCAGGGTGTATTGCAGGGTGTATTGCAGGGTGTATTGCAGGGTGTATTGCAGGGTGTATTGCAGGGTGTATTGCAGGGTGTATTGCAGGGTGTTTTGCAGGGTGTTGGGACTGTTGACTGACCACCTCAGTGTGCATTCTGGGCATTGTTTGCATTGTTTGCATTGTTTGCATTGCAGAAAACAGAAATACAATTCGACATGCCCAAGGTCTTTGAGTTGAAGCCAGGCGGGTCCGGTATCCGCGTTGACAATGAAAACCGGTTAGTTCTCTGTTCTGTGACAACTTGATGTGCACAGTGTTGTACAAGTACAGTGCTGGCAACTGAAATCCGACCCCCTGAGCGGTGCGCTCACATCGCAAAGAATGTGAACCCACCGCTCAGGGGGTCGGATTTCAGTTGCCAGCACTGTAGTACTAGTACTACTAGTACTAGTGGTCTGGGTGGGAACTTCAATGTCAGATAGCGTAGTGCTGTCAGGGTTTGCGCTGTGTGTTGGAAACTGTTGGCAGGTTGAGCATTCCGGCAAGGTATGCTCGGACCTGGTCATATTCTGGCTTTGAGAAAACAAGAATGAGGTTCTGTACTCAAATTCTTTCTTGACTTGCATTATCAGTTTCCAACCGTATTCAAACAGTGCTCATGCATTGTTCAAATCAGTTCTCGGATAGTGCTCAAGCATTGTTCAAATCAGTGCTCGGATAGTGCTCAAGCAGTGGAGTAACATGTGTGAATATAAATTGGAGGATCCTCGTAGAACTCCAATTGGAGTTCTACGAGGATCCTCGTGGCATTCAGGAGCACTGTGCATGCCTAGCGTTTGCATGTGAGAACCATTGGGTGGGTGCACAGTGTGACTGGATACTGCGAGGAGGCTCATAGAACTCCAATTGGAGTTCTATGAGCCTCCTCCAATTTATATTTCTACTTCACCTCCTCTCCGCATCCAGTCACACTGTGCATGCCGAAGTCATGCACAGCAAGGAAGTTCTTACGTGAGACTTCAAAGCAGTGAATGTTTGCCATCCCAGGGCCAACCGTCTTCTAGTTGTATGATTACATCAGCCACAGGTGTGAAAGCTTTCACACTCGCTTTCACACTCGCTCAATACGTCACGCTATCGGATAAGAATGGTGAAATTACATTGTAATTTGTTTGAGGAGAGCATTAGCTACATCACACGTTAGTAAATTAGTCTCCTGCCAGCTGTAATGTCGGCTGAATGATTTGAGGCCAGCCCAGTCTCCGGCTTTCAGCACTGCCTCCAGTGACGCTTGGTGAGCCCGAGCAGCAGAGACACTTGCTCCGCGAACACTGTGAACACCAAAGACTTTGACATCAATGCTGGACTCTGTCATCACCGACCTGACCCACCGGGCTACGGTGTAGATAGAGACTGGTTTGTGCGGAGTTGTATGGCTGATCAGGAGTTGACGCTTGCCTGGTAGTCGAAGAGACTCCGTAGCGCTCTGATAGATCTTGAGCAGAGCAGCAGATTGCAGAGGATAGCAGTAGCAGTAGATTGCAGAGGATCGTCTTCAGAGAGTGGTGGTAGTGTGGTAAGAGGCGATTTACACGACGGCAGTGCGTACCGCCGGGAAGTGAAGCACGTGATCCCGAGACGTGGGGGAAAAACCTCAGGAGTTACTGGGTCTTGGACTGATGCTTGTGGAACTTCCTTGTAGCCCTGTTAGTATGGCTAGTCCTTGTTTGGTGCAGTCTAGCCCTCCCGTTTAAAGACGGGTGTGTGTGGTAAGCATTCTGCTTAGAACCGTAAGATGAACGGTGATCAGCCGTGTTGTACGGATGAAACCGTGAGTCACCGGGTGTGCTAGACACGCTCTTTGACACCAGTTCATTGATCTCCTTGACGGAGTCCTGTATGTTGTCGCCAAACAACTGGTTTGTGACAGGAACACACACCACACAAGGACCTGTGTTTCCTGTTGATGACTGGGCACATTACCTCCCGGCGTCGCTGTGAGAGTTCAAACACAGGATTTCCGAGCAGCGCTATAGCTGACGATATGTTTCTGCTGGCTCCTTCCAGCGCATCAGCTGATGGGTTAGGCTGCATCAAGGTCTCTTTCTATGCTACAACGCCCGCCCAACCCTTCACCACCAGATTCTGTGAGGCCTGCATGTGGACGTCGAGTGGCTTTCGTCCACTTGTCCAGCTCTTTCCTAATCCCCTCGTTCACTTGGGACACCACAATGGTTGAACAGTTGGCGGGTCGAGGACAGCGGCATTTCATGTCCGTGAGATGTTCTTTGTCAATCCGCTTGGAACAACATTGAGTAACATACTCTGCCAGCTTTGGCACTACATGAGCGCTAGGCTCTGCATCTCCTACGAAGGAGACCTGTTCCAAATCTCCGGCTTCGGCTTGGCTTTCAGTGTGTAAGACAGCTGACGGTAGGTCCTCGTCATCCACGTCCATCAACTTCTGTCCGAAGTCATCGGACTAAGGAGCAGTGGTGTGCTGAACATCTTGAGTATCGATAGAAATAATGTGTACGCACTCACACCACGACACCAGAGGAACAATACGTATGGATTTTAACGTCGTTTTCATGTGACGTTAAAATCCGTATTTATTGTTCCTCTGGTGTCGTGGTATGAGTGCGTACACAGTATTTCGATCGACTATAGGATTTTTGTCTCCTCGCCGACTTATCTTGAGTATCTTTCATCAATAATACCGTAGTGGAAGAGAGTTAATGGGATATTGAGGAGACATCCGATTTCAACGCCGTGACCGAAGTCTCTAACTTGTTGAACTGTTCAGCGGAGACAACTCCAAGTCTGCGTCGATATCGGCAACATCCGTGGCTATTACTACGAAACTTACTTGCTAGTTAGTAAAAGAAAAATGCTCTTCTTGAAAAGGGAAGATACGAGGTAGTTCTGCTGATCTGCGACCAGCACAAAGAAGGAAAAAACTGAGTTGGGCAACCAGGGGAATTTTTTTCTTTTGAAAATGCTTTAACCCTTTTGCATCCGTCTAGCCAAAAACCAACGACTATCCTTTGTCATATCCTTTATCATATCTGACATGCTTCAAACAAAAGTTATACTGTAAGTCAACAAATATTCGGCGCATATTTATTTTCGGCTATTTTCGGTCTGATCATATTTGGCCGAAAATTTGTTGCAGCCGAAATTTTGTTTTGCAAGGTCCAGTGTGACAGTGTATACAGGCAGCAGCAGTACAGGCCCAAAATCTGTTGCAGCCGAAATGAGTTTTAGCCCTGGGGCCGAAATTTGAATGGGCCGAAAATTTGTCGACTTACAGTAAGCTTCTGAACTTATCTATTTTTGCAACGCGTATGTTGTAGCTTTGGAAATGAGTACTGTAGAGGCAGAAAATTTCGTCGGTCAATAATTTCGTCCAACTCCAAAGAAAAGGAGTTCGTCCGGTTGAAAATTTCGTCCATAGATCATAAGAGTGTATAGAAACGCTGGACAAATCGATATTAGTCCTACATTTAATTTAGTCCAAAAGCTCGTTGGACGAAAACGACGAAATTAAATTCCAGACGAATATTTCTGCTTATACAGTATACTATCATCCTAGAACTTGACATCAAGGCTTCCCAAATGTACACGAACAATAATAATTATAATGTCAGCTTACAAGTGCACATTTGAGACTATGAATACCCTCATAAGGATTAGCCGTTTGTCGCTTTGAAAATATGAATTGAAGATGGATTTTCACTTCTCTTACAAAAATCAAGACTAGCTTCTGGTGCTAGAGTGCTCTTCAGAGCTCAAGGTTTTCAAAACGCCTAAGATCTCCCTAATTCGCCGAAGGGAAACCAAAGTTATCAAATTGGGACACGATCTGTTGCTCTGACTGTGAACTGGCCGGGTTTGGTGGATGCAAAAGGATTAAAAAAATTGCGGATCTGTGACTATTGCGTGCCGAATATCTCAAGTAGGAACTAGGAAGAACGTACTTTTAAATGTGTGACTGGATGCGGAGAGGAGGTGAAGAAAAATGTTATGTATGACAAAGAATACTTGATTGGCTACAAAGGTGACCTTTTTTGCTGTTGCTGCTATGTCGTTATCATTCCCAAAATTCTAGAGAGGAGTATGTACGTCTCTATGTTGAATATGTTCTGCACGAGTCCATCAAGAAGCAGTACGAAAGTTTCGCTAAAGGTTTCTTTGCCGTGTGTGAAAGCAGAACTTTGGTGAGTGTCAACCTGACTAGAATACGGTAACTATCTGTGTGCAGTCTGCAGCAGAATAGTGCGTGCCATCTGCAGCAGAATAGTGCATGCTGTCTGTAGCAGACTATTGTGTGCCATCTGTAGCAGAGTAGTGCATGCTGTCTGTAGCAGAGTAGTGCATGCTGTCTGTAGCAGAATAGTGTGTGCTGTCTGCAGCAGAGTAGTGTGTGCTGTCTGTAGCAGAGTAGTGCATGCTGTCTGCGACTGCTACCCTTTAGTATGCTGGTTTCAGTGTGTTCACTTCTTGTTTGCTTTTGGGAAAGGATGTTGTACATATACATGTGCTTCTTTTCTTTCTTTTTTTAATGTACTTGTGCAGTTGTTCAGTCATGTAGTATAGCACTGAGTGTGCTAGAGATGATGCATGGAACCTAATGAGCAGTAGTGTGTGTAGTTCTGTTGTTCTGTAGCATGTCCAAAGATTATCCTGGTCATGTCATGACTGTGAAATCTAAATGCATAGACTAATGCCTACGTTCAAGTGAACAGTTTGCCTCTTGTTCTTGTTGTTTGGTTTTATTTGCATGCTGTAGAGCTTGATGCATCCTACTGAGCTGCAAGCTCTTGTAACTGGCGACCAAGTGCAAGACTTCAGTCGACTGCCCGAGGTACAGTACAGTACAGTGCAGTGTATTACTGTATTATCCGGCACCGAAGAATAGACCGCCAAAGGAAAGACCACTGAAGAACGAAAAGGCTAGAATTTTGCCAAGCGTAGCAAACCGATATATGTGCAGTGGCTCAACTGCACATAGCCTGCAGTACATGAAAATAAGAACATCCTGTATTTTAGGCTACAGCGCTGGTCCCTTGTTCTTCAGCACCCAACGGTACTATGGAATAGAGTGCACTTGAGTGCAGTACGGTACGGTACAGTACAGTGCAGTACGGTACGATACGGTACAGTACAGTGCAGTGAAGAACGGTAAGAACGGTGCTGTGCAGTGTGGGACAGTACGGTACAGTGAAGTACGGTACAGTGAAGTACGGTGCAGTGAAGTACGGTGCAGTGAAGTACAGTGCAGTACAGTACAGTGCAGTGAAGTACAGTGCAGTACAGTACAGTACATGTTTGACGATGACAGCATGTTACGAGTGAGGAGGACACACTGTGTTCAGAGCAGTACTCCTGACTGCAACCATAAACCGGTTGGCAGAGTACCGGTCTTGCTACCATCTGAACTGTATGGGGTCAAGCTCCTGTTGGGATGCTCTGTTTTCTAGGGGGAGGTGGCACCTTAAAAACAACCAATCGTCAAACATGCTAACCTATCAAGTACGGCACAGTACAGTACAGTACTTTAGTCTTTACTGTGCAGTACGGTGTAGTACGGTGCAGTACGGTGTAGTACGGTGTAGTACGGTGCAGTACGGTGTAGTACGGTGCAGTACCGTACAGATATGTGTGTGTGCTTGGAGTACCCCTGTCTAGGTAGGTGGGGTGGGTGTGTGGATGTGTGGGTGGGGTGGGTGTGTGGATGTGTGGGTGTGCTTGGAGTACCCATGTACCAGGTTTGTTGCAATGAATTTTTTGGTGCCTGTTTGTCATGCATTGCTTGCTTTTCTTACCAGGTGACACAGTATCAGGGCGGATTTTGTGCCAACCATCCAACCGTTAAGATGTTTTGGGAAGTTTTCCTCGCCTTTGACGTTGCCACACAGCAGAAGTTCCTTCGTAAGTTTCTCTCTGTGACAGTGTGATGGCATGTCTGTATTGTAGGTCTCTGTGACAGTGTGATGGCATGTCTCTACTGTAGGTCTCTGTGACAGTGTGATGGCATGTCTGTATTGTAGGTCTCTGTGACAGTGTGATGGCATGTCTCTACTGTAGGTCTCTGTGACAGTGTGATGGCATGTCTCTACTGTAGGTCTCTGTGGCAGTGTGTCTGTGGCACGTCTGTATTGTAGGTCTCTGTGACTGTGTAGGGCATGTCTTTACTGAAGGTCTCATTACCAGTAGAGCCATGCACTAATGAATGTACTTGTGATGCTCAAGAAAGTCCACTTACTACGAAGTAGTACAGTGAATATATAGTAAATGAGGTACTGGATCGACGTTATTCCCGCATCTAATTTATTCTGGGAGCTCCTCGGACGAAAAAAACGAAATTAAATTCCCAAAGACGATTTCTGCATACTGGTATACAGTATTGTGCGAAGCCACAGTGTAATCAGTGTTGTAATCAGTGTTGTAATCAGTGTTGTAATCAGTGTTGTAATCAGTGTTGTAATCAGTGTTGTAATCAGTGTTGTAATCAGTGTTGTAATCAGTGTTGTAATCAGTGTTGTAATCAGTGTTGTAATCAGTGTTGTAATCAGTGTTGTAATCAGTGTTGTAATCAGTGTTGTAATCAGTGTTGTAATCAGTGTTGTAATCAGTGTTGTAATCAGTGTTGTAATCAGTGTTGTAATCAGTGTTGTAATCAGTGTTGTAATCAGTGTTGTAATCAGTGTTGTAATCAGTGTTGTAATCAGTGTTGTAATCAGTGTTGTAATCAGTGTTGTAATCAGTGTTGTAATCAGTGTTGTAATCAGTGTTGTAATCAGTGTTGTAATCAGTGTTGTAATCAGTGTTGTAATCAGTGTTGTAATCAGTGTTGTAATCAGTGTTGTAATCAGTGTTGTAATCAGTGTTGTAATCAGTGTTGTAATCAGTGTTGTAATCAGTGTTGTAATCAGTGTTGTAATCAGTGTTGTAATCAGTGTTGTAATCAGTGTTGTAATCAGTGTTGTAATCAGTGTTGTAATCAGTGTTGTAATCAGTGTTGTAATCAGTGTTGTAATCAGTGTTGTAATCAGTGTTGTAATCAGTGTTGTAATCAGTGTTGTAATCAGTGTTGTAATCAGTGTTGTAATCAGTGTTGTAATCAGTGTTGTAATCAGTGTTGTAATCAGTGTTGTAATCAGTGTTGTAATCAGTGTTGTAATCAGTGTTGTAATCAGTGTTGTAATCAGTGTTGTAATCAGTGTTGTAATCAGTGTTGTAATCAGTGTTGTAATCAGTGTTGTAATCAGTGTTGTAATCAGTGTTGTAATCAGTGTTGTAATCAGTGTTGTAATCAGTGTTGTAATCAGTGTTGTAATCACCACAGTGTAATCAGTGTTGTAATCACCACAGTGTAATCAGTGTTGTAATCAGTGTTGTAATCAGTGTTTGCTTGACACAGTGTAATCAGTGTTGTAATCAGTGTTGTAATCAGTGTTGTAATCAGTGTTTGCTTGACACAGTGTAATCAGTGTTGTAATCAGTGTTGTAATCAGTGTTGTAATCAGTGTTTGCTAGGTTGACACTGCTCTTCTACACGCTGTTATGGAGTATGTTTGATAGGTTGACACTGTCTTCTGCTGTGCTTTGCTGCTGTTCTACTTGCAGAGTTCCTGACGGGAAGTGACCGTGTTCCTGTTGGTGGGCTGAGCACACTGCGGGTAAGTTCGTCTGCTACAGGGTTAGAATGTACCCGGTCAAAGTACTTGTACCGTATTATCCATGTATACTGCTATTTATGATATCATGCTGTTGACACTTGACAGGTTTGTGTACATACTCAATCAATTCCAACCTTTGCTTTTGGGTGTCCGTAATGTTCTTGCATACTACAGAATTTTAAATATAGCTGTTCTCACCTTGCGTCACGAGTATGCCATATTTGTGGAAACTGGAAACACACCCCACCTGTACTGACTTCTTCTTGTTGTCTCACATAAACCTGCGACTTACAGCTGGACTTCAACTAACTAATTAATTCATTCATCTGTGTTTTCATACCATGCTTAGGTGGTGATACAGTCTAACAACTCGGGTCAGGATTATCTGCCAGTCGCACATACCTGCTTCAATGTCCTCGATCTGCCTATCTACAAGTCCAAGCAAGTACTTGAGAGTAAGCTGATACAAGCCATGACACTTGCTGAAGGTTTTCATCTCGTTTAACCATAGGTGGTGCCTGTGGTAGGTTAGCACTGCGGACTAGCACCCAATGACCTGTTATCGCTGCTGCTGCCACCGCTGACGCCGCTGCTGTTGCTGCTGGTGTTACTATTCTCATTCTCTCTCTCTCTCTCTCTCTCTCTCTCTCTCTCTCTCTCTCTCTCTCTCTCTCTCTCTCTCTCTCTCTCTCTCTCTCGTTATTTCTCCCTCTCTTTGCTGGCTTGTTTTTTTGCACATCATGGTTTTTGGAAGATTATGTTGCTATTTCCAACACTCTGGTCATATATCTATCATGAAACCTATGCACACTATGCACACTCTGACCATGAAATGATGGCCCGGGTGCTGGTTTAGAGCAGTATCATGTATGTTTTCTTTTGGATCTCTTTGAACACCTCGCAGTGCAGTGGGTCCCACATTCTATAAGTTGTGTAGTTTACAACCTACTAGTATCTCAATTTTTATGAATTTTTATTCAAGTGCTGCTCACCACCCTGGCCATCAGTGACTCTTTTTACTCCGGCTCCGTGTTTGTTGATCAGACATGGATTTTTAGATTTCTTATTACATCAGTGTGAGCACCTCTTGACTATTGCGATCATTGTGACATGGTGTGCTCTCCTGCTCTCTATCACTAGCAAGTCCCTCGTAATCCTTTCCGACTGTGCCACGACAAAAGAGCATAAGACCCACACATGTTTGTCGCCTTTTTTTGTTACTGGCCTGTCCTTGTAGTGTGTTAACGTGTATTTTCAATTTATTCTTCCTTTCGCCTTCTTGTTGTTCTTGTAACAATGGTCCATGCTTGCACAAAGCCTCTCCTCACCATTGCGATTCTTCATTTTCCTTCCTACCATCCCCCTCCCTCTACACACAGAGCCTAGTTTTGCTTTCTATTTTTTAGCCACCTAGCGCCTGCTTTACTCATTGTGTCATGTTTGATCCTGCCTTTTACTATTACCGATATCTTTACATTTTTGAAGAAAAATTGCCTGCGTCCAACTGCGCCGTCTCACCTACATGTACTATGTTACGTATTGTAGTTCTCCATTGTGTATGTGTGTGTGTGTGTGTGTGTGTGTGTGTGTGTGTGTGTGTGTGTGTGTGTGTGTATGTGTGTGTGTGTGTGTGTGTGTGTGTGTGTGTATGTGTGTGTGTGGGTGTGTGTGTGTGTGTGTGTGTGTGTGTGTGTGTGTGTGTGTGTGTGTGTGTGTGTGTGTGTGTGTGTGTGTGTGTGTGGTGTGTGTGTGTGTGTGTGTGTGTGTGTGTGTGTGTGTGTGTGTGTGTGTGTGTGTGTGTGTGTGAGTGTGTGTGTGTGTGCGCGCACACGTGCAGATGTGCTCACGCATGCGTCCATGTCAATTGGAGATCATCTGGTGTGAAGTAGTCCCCCCGTGCTCAGGACCACGTAACCAGCGTGCAATATCATGGGGATGGCGGACAATGATTGGCTTCATTATCCCATGCCCTATGCCATGTATACTACATGTGTATGTATGTAATGTCTGTAGTCCGTATGCCAGTCATGCTCCTATAATATCCAATGCCATGCATGTTCACTTGCGTCAACGTAGGCGTAGGTGACTCTTTTATGGGACTGGTGACGCTCCGCGAGAAGAAGCGTTGTTACTGCAGTTCTGCTGTGATGTTTCCACCTGTTGCTGTGTTGGGTAACTGATATGTACATCTGCTGATACATGTCCGATGATTAGGAAAATTAATATTGTTTGGACAACATGACTTGTACTTATTTGTAGGTCAAGTAACAGTAGTTAGTGTGTCGTCAAATACTGTAACGTTACTGGACTCCCTGGTTTGGCCAGACAGCACACTGCAGTCTGTGCATGCAGAGGTACTGCTTTTTTTTAGTACATGTTTTTTTTTTTTTTTAACTTGGTAAACCGGCCTCTTGTACGGGCAGTTTTAGTACATGTACAATCAAGAGTACATGAAAATGGTTTTCATCAGGGAGTACTAGTATTATTACTCCCTGGTTTTCATGTACTCTTGCCAGTCTGGTACCACAATGACTGTAGTCTGGACCAGGGAGTCGTTAAATAACGACTCCCCGGATCATGGATCAAAAATTAATCTTCATGTGCATGCAACTGGATTCCTCTGGAACGCATGGGCTCGAGGCCAGATAGCCCGCGCGTGATTGGCTGTTGCGATTCGAAGCGGTGGATTTGATTTTTGATTTTCATGTCCCAGCACAGGTTCACAAAGCAGGTGGCTATCGTCTTCGAGTTCAGCAATCTTCGCACACGTTTGGCAAAATGTACTTGAACTGACTTTGCAGGTATCCACCCCTGCTGTTATGAAACTTCCGTGCAAGACATAAATCGTCGCTTGTCGACGGTCCTAAACAACACCTGGCTCACTTCTGGTGTGATCCAGGGCCAGGCCCAACAGACTTATAATCAGTATCCAGTCCATGTTCGTTTGAACGCGAAAATTTGTTCAAGTTGGATAGTGTTCGGTTTGCAAGTTAGCTGTCAACTCTTTACTTGTAGTGTGTCCAAACAGCAGTGGCAATGGCAGCTACCGATCGACCCTTGGAGATCGACCACCACACCATGAATTTGGTTTGTTGCTCTGCGTTGAGCCGAATGCTGGACACAGACTGTGAGGACGCGTTGTCTTTCATTCTGGAGGGCTGCGATGAAGTGGATGGTGGTGCTGTTCAAGACAGCCACGTCAATCATTCGCACAACGTGGTGCGTAACCTGAAGGGAAAGATGAGCACTGGCCTAAAGAAGTCGTTGTCCGCTCTTTCAGGAATGCACCCTAAAAAGCAGAGTACCAGTAAGTGTGACGTCATCAACATTGCAGTTTTTACTTTTTCACCTACCTGCTCCTTTCATCAAAAGCTTCATACCACTCCCAAGTTGGTAGTGTCACTACTGCTTCCTATCATGCTCGAGGAGTTGCTATGTCAGTGATTCTAGCACATTCCTTCTGTCAGTCGAGATATTCATCCCTTAACTGGTATTGTGAAGAGCAGCACCACAAACATACTTGAGTCATACGTTGCTGCAAGTTGCTACAGTCAGCTACTTGAAAATATGGAATCCGTCGCTAAACATTAAAACGTGTCTGGTAATTTCCCTGGCTCTAGGTCACCCGTGTGAACACACCATCCTCCCCCCCCCCCCCCCCCCACACACACACACGCACACATGCATGCATGTGCACAGTTGTGTGGGCACATGTTGCATATGAAATTTTGAACACATATCTGGATGTGCAGAGTCTTACCTCACTCATGCTGACAGCATATTAGGCAGAAAGCCTTGGAGACGTGTCTGTATTACTGTATTGTGTATTGTGTCGCTGAGTTAGAGTTGCACTTTTTATTTTTCAAAAATAGGCCAGAAGTCTGCCCTGTGAATAATACTTATTAAAGGGGAAGTTAAGGCAAAAATTAAAATTTCACCAGTTGTAGTCTTCGGGGTGCTGAGTCGAATGGTCTTGGTCCGAGAAAGCTGAGACGCTCCCTTCCTACTTGAATCCCAATCGAACTCGCGCACTTCCACCGAAACTGGGTGACTGCGCCCTACTAGATGGGGATTTGTATGCAAAATGTCACTAAAAGCGCCGTTTCGTTCTTATAAAAGCACGGATGACCGCGATTGGCCCATATGTTGTAGTCTTTTGGACGCTGCGTCGACTGGTTTTGGTCCGAAAAGGCTGCGATGCAGCGTTCCTCCTTTATTCCCAATCGAACATGGTTGAACAAGCGGTCACGTGCTCCTGCGTACACCAGTCACCTGGTCACCGTGCCTGCAGGGTACAACTTACTAGCCTGTTTGACCTTTTTTGGGTGCAGTCCTGTCACTCGAGTTGAACTCGAGTTGAACCTTGGTGTGAAAGTTGTCGCCTGCTGGCGTGGTGACCAGGTGATTTGGGCACCCAGGAGCACGTGACCACTTGTTCATCCATGTTCGATTGGGAATAAAGGAGGAACGCTGCATCGCAGCCTTTTCGGACCAAAACCAGTCGACTCAGCGTCCAAAAGACTACAACATATGGGCCAATCGCGGTCATCCGTGCTTTTATAAGAACGAAACGGCGCTTTTAGTGACATTTTGCATACAAATCCCCATCTACAGTCCGTTTCAAAAAGATTTGCAACCCTGGCGATCGCCCGCGGAGTTTGGCATCTTACCGTATGAGCACTCGAGCGCTGCCTGGAAAAACTCACTGTGAACTCGAAGAAATATTCCGCGCGAAAGCAGGAAAAATGACAACTCACTCACGTCGTTGATACAGTCATGTACGTCTGGTTTACAACAAACGAGTTCTTCCTCGTATCGATAAAGGAGTCGGAGAGGACATGTCGAAACGAAAGTATTGTAAATGTTGACGAGCGGCATGGATCCCAATTCGTTTTGTGACCAAAATAGTTTCTTTGAGCTGCGATGCAATTTACTCACCGTGCGACGAAAACGACATCGACACGGACTCATTCCCAAGGCCATGACTTGGCAAAGCGTTCCGTGTGACTTCGACGACATTTTAAGAAAAGCAGACGCTTGTGAACCCTGACAGAAGACGGCGTTGACTGCTAAATTCAAATAAATTGGCGATTTTGAAATACTAGAATAAATCTCAAAAAGCTACAGCGCGATGACTTCCATATTCACTCACACCATTGCAGTGTTGTGGGTGTGTTCACATGGCATGAGCCAGTCAAGTGTCAGTCAGTTCGGCAGGAAGCGCGAGCTCCAACAACAAGTCGTTTGGTGCAGCCATCTTCTTTGTCCGTGTACCAGCTTGATCATGATCACCAAAACAATGAAGAAAAAAAGTTTGACTTGAGGATAGGTTGGGATTTGAACTCACAACTTCATGGTCAGCAGACAGCATTCATAACCACAAGGCCAAAAAGGAAAGGATAAATCGTGGGTTTTGATAAAGAATCGATACTGGCTTCCTGGGCAAATTGTAAACCATGGGAAAAGGCCGGAAACCTGGCCGAAATTCTAACTCATTAACGACTGGTCCAATTGTTCCGAAACCTTCACAGAACAATTTGCCGTGTCCTAACAAGCCATTCTATGTACTTTATTGTCCAACATTCCCTTATCTTCATACTTTTTAAGACCCAAACCTGATTGTAAATCTTTTTGAAACAGACTATAGTAGGGCGCAGTCACCCAGTTTCGGTGGAAGTGCGCGAGTTCGATTGGGATTCAAGTAGGAAGGGAGCGTCTCAGCTTTCTCGGACCAAGACCATTCGACTCAGCACCCCGAAGACTACAACTGGTGAAATTTTAATTTTTGCCTTAACTTCCCCTTTAAATAGACAGTTTGTACAAACCGATGATGTCATAGTTAAGGGCTTTTGCTGGAGAAGAGGGTCATGCAAATATGCGCCTGCACGAGTATCATGCATACACAGAAAAAGAAAGAAAAAACGTGCTTCCTGTTCTCCACTACGTCAGATAGCACCTGCGATACCTGAACAACAGAACCACACCTGACACGAGGGCACCGAATAAGCTATTGTTGCTGTTGGTGAATGCCTGGAAGGACAGTCGAGTTTGCGCAAGTCTACATAGCTGTATTGTCAATCACCCTTTCTGAGAAGATTAACGACGCAATACTGGATCATGCATCCATGAATGCATGCGATGTCTATGGGATGACTGAGCACATATACATGTACGAGCATTTAACAAAGCACAAGAAGAACCAATGTTGCAGCTGATCCACTGTATGCTTTCCTTATCCTTCTGTGATATGCGAATGTGTGTAGGTTCTTTAGCCAGTTCTCGACTTTCGTCCACTTTGCAATTCGGTTGCCCGATACCAGAGGATGGTCCGCTCCCAATCATCGAAATGTTAGACTTTCTTGATGACTGTGAGTACAGCCACCTGTGTGTGTGTGTGTGTGTGTGTGTGTGTGTGTGTGTGTGTGTGTGTGTGTGTGTGTGTGTGTGTGTGTGTGTGTGTGTGTGTGTGTGTGTGTGTGTGTGTGAGCATGTGTGTGAGCATGTGTGTGAGCATGTGTGTGAGCATGTGTGTGAGCATGTGTGTGAGCATGTGTGTGAGCATGTGTGTGAGCATGTGTGTGAGCATGTGTGTGAGCATGTGTGTGAGCATGTGTGTGAGCATGTGCGTGAGCATGTGCGTGAGCATGTGCGTGAGCATGTGCGTGAGCATGTGCGCGAGCATGTGCGCGAGCATGTGCGTGAGCATGTGTGTGAGCATGTCCGTGAGCATGTCCGTGAGCATGTGTGTGTGTGCGAGCATGTGTGTGTGTGTGTGTGCATGTGTGTGTGTGAGGGAGCATGTGTGTGTGTCATGCTCCTTGCTCGAGTTATTTACAGCGCTTGTACGGGGTGTGTGCAATCAAGGGCTGTAATTACTTGTCTTGTAATCTTTTTTGTCTACAGAAGGCTTCTCTGCAGGAACTCAAGCATGACAAAAAATAATTTTGCTATTATAGCAAACATTGAAACAAGCTACTTGTACATGTAGCCAACATAGCTCCTGAAGAGTTGCCCCCTGAAGTGTTCCCCAAACTGCAAAATTCAATATTTCAATATAGAGCCGTGTATTGGAAAATGATGCCGAAAATGTTGTTTTGTCTACTGCTCTGTTTTGCATTCGCATTCACACAGGTGTGGATGTCAGTGGTCTGTTCCGTGTGTCTGGCAATAAGCGACGACAAGATGAGCTGAAAGCTCTATCACAGGACGAGTCGTTTGACATTGAAGAGGTGGTGCAGAAGTTCACTCCACACGACATTGCTTCTGTTGTCAAGAACTATTTATCAGAGTTACCCGCGCCGCTCTTGCAGCAGCAGTTCAAAGAGATTTATCTACAGATAGCAGGTAAGTGGAAATTGTTAGGCCATGCACGTTATTCGAGGAGTCGTAAGTCATTGCATCTAGGGAGACAACACAAGACCACATTACCTGGGACTACAGACTTATATGGCCAATGGGCCAATTTAGTTGCTCAGTCAGTTTGGGTACTCACTGTATGTTGCTGAACGCATCCCTCTTGATTCCATAGGGCTTGAACATGCTACGTCACAGCCAGGCCGGAGGTGTGATAATGCTTACTTTTGGATCTACTTGAATCTAGTTTTTTGTATGAGTCTGTACACGTTTGGAGCGGTTTCCATCCCGGTGGGTGACGTTTCCGCTGGTGGTGACCGAACTGGGCCAAACTGGGCCTGGGTCATGACATGTGGATCCATTGTGAGTTTGTGACCCAGGGGTCGTTATTTCTTGACTTTTGACGTCATTATCTTCAATCCCTATGAAGAATGAAATCATGTACTTTGTGTAGGAAAAGCTCTGGTCAAACCAGATCCTATGCAAGACTGGACTCCAGCAGAGACCTAAATATCTTTCTTCCAGTATGTTCGGTTTATGTTTTTCTTGATTCAAGGTACACGAACCAGTAATATTCTTTTTTTCTTTTTTGTGTAGGTAGTTCAGTAGTTCATCTTTACTTACGCTGACCCTGCTTCACTAATCAATGCTAATCATTGCTGTATTGTACTCTTGTGTATGGCCACTGTGTGTTCTTTACTCAGAGCTTCCGGAGGTTCAGAGAGTGGAAGCACTGCAGTTCCTTCTATTGATGCTGCCGCCAGCTTGCCGCGAGCTGTTGCATTTGCTGCTGATGACGCTTGGCCGGGTGGCCGAAAACTCCGCTGTGAACAAGATGGATGCGAGTAACCTGTCAATTGTCATTGCACCCAATCTCATCAGCATAGTGAGTTTCTGCCCATCATCTTCTGTGCCTCATGCATGTGTATAGTATAGTGGAATATCTCAACTACTAGTACACACACAACCCAGGAAGCAGACATACAATCATATGCTACTATAGTAGTATGTATGTCCTGTATGGGAAAGTCTCCTGTTCATAGAGTGCCTTACAATTTGATTGATGATGAGATTATCTGAGACTGAATTATGGTGTTTTGAATTAGATGTCCTTTGTTGAGGTGTCCACTGAGGAAGACTCACCTGGAGTCAGTTTACTTCAGTGAGTGAGTGAAGTGTGTGAGAGAGGGGGGGGGGGGGCAAATTCAGTTTTGCTATGCACGATTGCCTGTCCGGCATGTGTAGTTGTATTCCTTGTGTGGTGTTCCGAGCAAATGCTGCTATGCACCTGGGTTGCTTCTGTGTTGACTGCAGCCACCGGAGAACCAAGATGACATGCAGCGGATGACAGTGGTTATCTGTGACATGATCAAGAACTATGGTCAGATTTTCACTGTAGGTACCTGCACATTGTCATCCTTGTTTAGTTTGTACATGGCCTCTTACCAGGTGAATTTGAAACACTGCACATTTTAGCATTCACACTATCTCTACACTACTCATACCCAGCATACAGAATAATGTGATACGTTTGGTATTGTTTGAGTGCTATGTGGGCCAAAGTAAGGTGAGCATGCTATGGTAGGTTTCGATATTACAACTTTTCTGTACTTGGCCATCATCAGTACAAATCATCAGTTGTGCCTGGTGATGGTCAGTGCTGCGACGTTGTAATGTAATGAAGCTGGATTTCAGTGTCTTTTGGAATGGTTGTGTCCACCTGACCCCCGTTCTTAATGAAACTGCAAGAAGTCTCAACCCGTTTCCTAACTTCTTTTCTTTTAAATACTAAGTTTGAATCCGATCTCATGCTTCTATACAATCTTCATTTCCACCGAACAGTTTGTTGCTTGCATTCTCTGTGTCATGTGTCGTGTGTCAATTTGTGTGTTGTGTGGTGCACGTACATGTAGGTTCATCACGAAGTGGAGTTACAGATGCGAGTACTTTTAGCCAACATGCAGGCAGGAGAGGTGAGTCATGTGCTCACAGAGTGCACATATCAGGCCTAGCAATTTTGAAACAGCTAGCTGTCCACCGTCTAGGAGCTGCATCTGTGCCTTGATCCATCCTAGAGGGTGATGGACTTCATGTGGATGCAGAAAACTCGGTCTAACTGAGTCCTATGCGAACCGCGATCTCTTTTTTTTCTTTAGCTGTGCAGAGTACAACTAACTGAAGTATACCAATAGCTGCCAGTCTTACCTTTCGGGTCTTGCTGCATGCTTCCAGGTCTACGGGCAGGTATTTTTTTTCGGAATATTTCTTCATGCCTGGGACGCAGCCTGTTTCACGCCACCATCCCCTTTGCTAAGGGGTCGAATCTCTTTGTCCGGAACTATACCCACAATTAACAGTCTATGAATCGAATACTCAACTTAATTTCGAAGTATTGTGCACAACCTTTGTATGGTCTTGCTGCTTCTGCTAATTCAAACATGTGTACAATTGTGTGTTTGCTAGATGGATGCACCGCTGGCACTGACCCGCACATCATGCGCCAAGCAAACCGAAGAGCAGTATCAGCGCGATGCTTGCGTCTATACCGGCCAGGAGCTGCTCAAGCTGTTCGAGCATGTCCAAGCCATGCCTGAGGGAAAGCAGAAACAGCACTTGCTGAAGAAGTTCACGAGTGGTCCGATGGTACACAAATCCACTGGAGCAACGTCTCGCAGTGTTGGTGGCAGTGTGGGAAGTGTGAGCAGTATGGGCACACCGCCTGGTACACCTGGTAGTGTCCACACTAGGCATAGCTCTGGTGCTACACCCATGTCCGCTGTAAGTCAACTATGTGTGTCTGTGTGTGTCTGTGTGTACTTGTACAGTGCTGCCCCAAAAGTCAGACATCTTTTCCCAGACACCCCAATAATGGTCAATTTATCCTTGTGTGGTAGGGTAACATGAACAAAGTCGACCTTGCCTCAATGCTGTTGCACGTGTATGTGCATATACATGTAGTACAACCTTTGGGCTTCTATTGAAGTCAGGAAATGTGTACTGACGTATATGTTTATGGTTGTGTGCATGTGTATGTGTGTCAAATCCAGTTCAAGGTCAGCCAGCGGGAAATCCTTGATTGTTCGGCGGCGACTCGTCAAGCAGTAAGTCTGATATTCCAATTGACTGTGTATTTTGCATACCAACACCACAGGCACCACCGGTGAAACACTGCACCTCGAGAGGCTGTAGTGATTTGGACACACACACGCACACACACACACACGTGCGTACTGGATGCCTCTCGGAACATTTCCTGTGAGTTGCTGTGGAGGGTGCTTTGGTGGAGGCCGCCCGAGAATTTCATCGTTGGGCAATGGATTGTTGAGGGCTGGTATGGCCTTTGCACATTGTTATCATTAGCACATGACATATCAAAAAATTATTGACGCCTCTTCGGTCAGTAGGCTGTAAGCCTATGAGTGCACAATATTAAAACTAAAAAGGTGAACACTGTGGGCTCATCTTGTTGAGATCAAAAATGGCTATTTCTCTTTTGCTTAGGTCAGTGGCATCACACTGGCTCGGATGAAGTTTCACGTACACTACAACTGTCATCATTTCCATAAATATCACAGTGAACTGTGTAGTGAAGATGATAGTGTTGTGCGAGCTGCTCCGGTCACCAGTGAAAACTCTTGTTGTGTGTGTGTGTGTGTGTGTGTGTGTGTGTGTGTGTGTGTGTGTGTGTGTGTGTGTGTGTGTGTGTGTGTGTGTGTGTGTGTGTGCTGTTTCCGCTTTGCAGGTGCGCTGGGGTACTCCTCGGCGTCGACGCGACACCAGTAATTCCAGTCGTTCGCAGTCGCAGAGCAACCAGTCGTTCTGCTCGGCCAGCTCGTTGTCGTTCAATGGCATGGAGAGTGGTAGCTTTGATGCTACATCCCAGTGCTCGGCGCTGTCTAAAGAGAATTTAGACCCCATAGTAAGTGCATGTATAGCAATCCTGCTTGCTCCTGCTTTTTCTCTTTTTCTCTCATACACCTGAATACACATACCAGCACACACACACACACACACTCGCACACATGCACTCGCACACACACACTCTCACACACACACACTCGCACACACATGCACTCGCACATGTGCCATAGTAACTGTTAGAAGCGGTGAAGTGAACTTTTCGTGCTGGCACTGACTGTTCCCTGTGCGTATGGCCGACCTTGCCCGTTAGAAGTTATTTACTCTGGGTGAGTGTACCCGTGTTGCAAGATGCACAGTGCGCAGTACACAGGGTTGTGATGTATGGCAAGTTTGGATTGTGTGGGTTTTTTGGTCTTTTTGTCATCCAGAGCCCCATGCCTCCTCCCAGTGGTAAAGCTGAGAGCCGTGGTGGCCTAGCAGCAAAGACGACGCGTGTATAGTCGTCATACATTGCTGATGACGATGACTTCACAGGTGGTGCTGCTGCTCTCCCTTGGTTCTGTCTTCTTGACGTGCTGCTTCCGCCATTACCCTACTCGTGTATTGTAACTCGCACTATTGCAATGGCCAGAACAATGAAGATCACGACACAATGGTGATGCAGGTGCTCAGCTCTTCAGCCATACGTCTCCAATGTTAGTCCTCACGAAGCTCCGGTTCCTCTCGAACTTAACAGCTACAGTCTCTCCCTCTCCCTCTCTCTCTCTCTCTCTCTCCCTCTCCCTCTTTTCCTTGCTCTCTGATAAGATGATTTCTCCTCTTGTGTATTTGCTTGTCAGCTTGCAATGAATAGCTTTGATGTGTTTGATTTGAGCGTTTCTTTTGTTTTGTTTGTTTTGTACCCATTCTGGCCATGGCAGCTTGCTATCTTCTGTTTTATCAAAAGTTCTATCATTTTCAACAGTCTTATACATGTACATATACATCATGTGTCAGTTAACGTGTGTGTGTGTGTGTGTGTGTGTGTGTGTGTGCACACGTGTATGAGTGTGATGATTTTCCACATTCCACGAAAAGAGCTTTCTTCATTGTTCTCTGTTGTCGTATTAGGCTGTGCTGTGTGCAACTTGAACTGACTATAACCACCATAACCGCTTCATGTACATAGTTTATTACTTGTGGCGTTTCCACAGCTGCTGGCTACACTTCTTTGCCACTATTATTATGATCTTGATTACTCACCACGACAACCAGTCACTCTTTTCTTGCAGATTCACACGTTAGCAATAGATGCTCATCTGACTGCAGCTATTCTTGTTGTGTGTGATGCTCGTTGTTTATTGTTTTGTTTCCAATCTGCAAAAAAATGAGGTGTCAGTGTTTGCATTGCTACTATGTACATGCATGCAGCTGTAGTTTCGTGACCGACGAAATGCCACTGCTGTTGTGTGACATATGCATCTACATCTATACAGACACAGACAATAAGAAAAGATGTTTATCACTTTTGTGTAACATAATGTTCTACATGTACATAATATTAGTACTCAATCTGCGGACAGAACTGGTTCGTCCTTTGTGGACTCATACTTTGAAGTAGTATATTGTCACATTTGCATCTCAAACATGATATTTGAGACGCGAATGTGACAATGGGGAGGTTTCGTTCTATGTAATTACGTACGAAAATCCGTATGTCGTACGCGTCGGGGAGCGAGGGCAACTTTCATACGTATACGTAAATCTCTCTACGGATTTCCGTAGGAAAGCTGTTTCCTACGTTGAGTCCTCCGTAGGACTTTTTGAAATATTTTTTTCGCATTTTCCGCATTTGTCCATGGCAACGTTCAAGCCGCGCGAAACACAAGGTACACACACCGTACACCACGTGCAAAATAAAAAGGGAAACGCGGTTTCGGTTCATGGTGCATGCGGCGGGCGCATGCAGCCAACCAAGAGTAGTACTCTTGAGCCAACGCGTCTCCAAAGCAACAATAAGAGCGGAATTGTCAACATGTAGCAGTCATGGAGAACTCACGTAGAGCGAAACCCAACAGCTCTGATTTTTACGTATGAAAATTCCGTGCAGTTCCTACGCGAAGTTATTTTCATACGTAATTCCGTAGAGCGAAACCTCCCTAATATTATACCTGTACTATGGCTTGTGTGGATCGTAGAGTGTTGGTCGAGTGAGCAGGTACATGTACTTGACCAAGCCGGTATGTCCTATCACAGAGCAATCTGTGACTCGGCAATGCCAGCTGTTGATCTCTGTCAGTAAAATACACTTCGGGCATAGGCGACAGGAATCCTTCGGAATGGATGGAACAGAACGGAGAAAGGTTTGTGTAGGGTAGGACGATAGACCATGTTCACAATTTCAGGCCAATATTAGTGCTTGGTAGAAAAAGAAGAAAAAGAAACAGAGCAGACACCCGCTCACCCTATGGGTTTGCACCGTGACTTGATCATCAGTGTGCTGCACTCAGACTGAGTCTCTTGCAGCTTTGCACCTGATAATCAACAAGCCAACATATTCATTAGAGGAGTCTTCAACGTCCAATGGCAGCGGCTTAAAGTGTGCGTCTCAAAATATCTGCTTTTAGAGTATGTGATCCATGGCGACTGCGGCAGAACTCGACCTTGCTCTAGGTCCTGATGCTCGAAGCAAGACTCGATTTAGGCTATCAGAAGGGTTGTACCAACTATGCGACACTGTCACTGTGGAATGAAGTTCAATGAACTGCACAGCTTTGAAGGTTGTAGCATAGGAGTTGCCCGCTGCACAGTTATCACCGTCTTGTTTGGTGGTTTCTTCATTGCCCTGGATGGCCACGTGTAGAGTTTGAGTTCAAGTGCCATGTCTTCACGAGGCATACTTGGCGATAACCTAGCAACGCCTGATTCAGTGCTGCACAGACAACAACGCTGTTGAAAACCAACCAGTGCTTTTATCTCAGGACTAGGCTATGGATGAAGTTCCTTTTTGGCTCTTGGCAGCCTCCTTCTGATCACTGTCTAGCATGTCAGTACTGGCAGACTCAGGCCACAGCCGACTTCATGGCTGCATGATCAGTGTGATCTATCACATCCCAGACTCAGAATGGGTTTCGGTATTCCATGACTGTGAGAAGCCCGCTTAGTTAGAGTGATTGGAGCTGTGTCACCGGTTCTATCATCAGTACCGGTTTGAATTCCCGACTGCGGAGCACTACCCTGTACAAGTACTCAGTTAGTACAGTAGCACCTAACTAGTAGTATGGTGGTGTTGAAACGAACAGAAACTTTGAGAAAGCTCAAAAGGATGTAGTGGATCTAGGAGCGGTCTTGACTCTTCGGCCTGATCTGAAGTGAGACTTGCTGAGTCTATCACTATACTAGTACTTAGTAGTCAGTATTCAGCCGAGCCACAACCTGGCGGAGGTCACTGGTGGTCATGTCCTGTGTGTCGGTCTGGAATCCCGGCCTGAATAGAAGCAAAGCCCGGTGGGGCAGCTGGCTCTCAGGTTGGCAATAGGCACACGATATAACTGATGCATCGCAGGGGCGGATCCAGGAGGGGTTCCAGGGGTTCCGCCGCTGCATTGTGGACAGGAGTCGTTGTTCGTTGTTTCCGATGTGGGATAATGAGCTTTGTAGAATCTACCATCATTGTTTCCACCAGGCAACTGGTGATTGTGCGGTAGTTTTTTTGCGTTGCATCGGTAGACTGCGGCGCACCAAGCCCTCAGCTCCAACTCCAAGGCGCCTACCTCTCTCTGCTTGTTTGGCTTTGAAGTACAATTGTAATTTGTAACCCATGAACAAATCACTTGGTCGCTGTTTTTCTAGTTTCGAGATGAAGTTGCCACTGAGCGAGAAGAAGCAGGGAGCACGACGATTGCTACCGGTAAGTGACTGAGCTGTTGGTCCGGATCACTGAGAAGTCGTCCAGTTCCGGCTCCACGTTCTGTCCTCCAACCGTAACCGACATTAATACTGACGACAGAGCGTGACTCGACAGCGATTTGCGTTTGTTCGAAAGCACGAGTTCCGAGTCCAAGGACGGAAACACGGCCATAGCAGAACTAACTATACCTACAAACACTACCGACGCGTCGGCGGAGGCTGAGGATCTAGCCTAGGAGGCGGCAGATATTTTGAATATTGAAGCTGCTTTCAGCGGCCGTCGGTCCTTCTTTTTGATCGTATTATCGTAAAAGACTGGCAACATAATCATTAGCTAACATGGTATCCACGATCCAGTGTAGGCAGGAAGCCGCACAGGTACGTCGCAATGCACACATAAATCATTGACAGTGGCCTGGGATCTACGATGTACAGCAGGGAGTACAGGCGTTGTTGTCTTAATTACAGTATCTATCCCTCTGAAAGATGCTACGGACACGGAAACTTCTGGAGAAGAAGACATTATACTGAGCCGGATTTCGAGAGGAGCTCTGCGGTCAGGGAACAATTGCATGTGGTAGATCTACACAGTTATGGTGACCCTGGGCACTGGCCACTGGGCAGCGCACCCTGGCATACTGTACTATTGTCACATGTATCCATGTTGCACCGTACAACAAGCTACGGTAGAATGAGATGTACGCAAGTCTGGTACGAATCCGGTTGGCCTTTTTTTTTACCACTTCGAGGTCGAGTACGACCAGCGATGACGTAAGCATGGTAAGTGTCCACACAAAACCGAGAATGTATACCGCTGTGCTTGTTCGTGAAGAAAGCCAAAGGAACCATGGACGTCCCAAGGCTAAAAGGACCGTCCATGCCTCTCGGGACTTTTCTCAAGTGGCATGAATTACCAGCAAAGGTACAGGTCACCTCGGGTTACAGTGCCCCTGATGATGAAGAGGATTCCTTGAGCAGTGGCGAAGTCATCGATCTGCATGGAGTCACTATCGGTGAAGTGAGTTTTTGTTTACTTTCATGCCACTTTGAATATTTGTATGTTTCACCACGTAATTTCACTGAAAATTGTTTTTTGCATTCACCCTGATCGTTTGAGATGCATGCATTACTGCATGCATTACTGCATGCAGTACCAATACTGTCTATGTCTCTGCAAAGTCATCTCTTCCATTCACTTTCAAAGTGATTGTCATGCTGTGTTCATGGTGTTTGTCTGCCCGTATGCATGACGTGTGTATGATTGTACATATTTACGAAACAGCTAGCTGTCCGGAGATTGAGAATGTATGTACATGTACAAGTATGTATGCAAGTAATTAGTTATGTAGGCATACACAGTTGTCCCTCGCTTACTCCCCCCCCCCCCCCCCCCCCCCTGGTCAGGGTCCACCAAGAGATGTGTAAATTACTACGTGAAAACTCTTCAAAAATGGTGGATAAGCGAAGTCCACACATCACTACATGAGCATTGACATATCCGTAGCACATCAATAATGACGCAACGACCCAGCCGATTCTCCAGTTTGTGGCTACATGTATATGTAATGAGGGCGACGCGCTGCGCCAGACCTGGTACATGGTGTGTGTGTGTGTGTGCCTTGCAAGCTGTTGAATGGTGTAATCCAAGCACAAGTTGCTATGTCTAACATAGCTGTTCGCTATCATCGCTTCTGCGATGGGCATGTCTGAGTGTGTGTGTGTGTGTGTGTGTGTGTGTGTGTGTGTGTGTGTGTGTGTGTGTGTGCATGCGAGTGTGTGTGTGAGTGTGGGTGTGCATGCACGTGTACATACATGTACGAGTGTCTGTGTGAGAAGCAAACACATTTATGCTATAGCTCCCTGCAGCACAGTCACTCATGCATGAAACACTGGATACAATATTGATACATGCACTGTGTGTGCCTTTAATATCAGTGTAGTCTCCTTGACAGGGTTTACTGTACATACATTGTATAATTAATGTAGAAGAAATCACATGGAAACGAGCTATGTAGCAACTATCCACTTCATAACTCGTTTCCATGTGACTTCTTCTATTTTAATTATATTTATTGGCTCATTATCCGAGTTAAATGTATACATTGTATAGTGCATGTATAGTGCATGTATAGTGCTGCTCAATGAAACCTGGTCATGTGAAGCAAGACCATGTATGCACCGGTCAGGGTGCTGTCTCAGACCTGCAAACACCAGGCTGTACACTGGTGCAGGGCGCCAACTTGCCATGGGAAGGAAACCATCGGTGCATCGGGCAGCTAGTTGTGTACTTCTGGGTACCACGACTATAGGATACGTGAAATGCCATGAGCCCCGCTCGTGATCGTTCGGCTTGGGTGGTGACAATGCAGGGAGCAAGGCTGGCATGCGGTCCTGTAGTTTGTGGCTGTCCTTGTTCACAGCCTGGATTTAGGTACTCTCGGCTCATGTATGATGTAAAGATGGACTAAGAACAGGTTTCATAAGCACCATGACCGACACCGGAGGCATAGTTTACCATTTGCTGGCTAGTGATCATGTCATGGCTTGGAAAGGTATGCACCATGTAAATCCTGTTCTTATAGTCTCCTGTTGGTCATTCTGTGTTACCTCTTCAGGTTGTTCTTAGTGTAGATCACCGGAATCAGCGCCAAACTCTCCCTCTTCACCAAAAGTGTTGGTTTGAGATTCTTACTGATAACCCTGGTATGGATGACAAGATCTTTGAATCAGTTTCTGAGCTTCTATGCGCTACTATGCCACTGCCGAATCAGGTTAGTTTGCTGATTTGTGGCTTGGTTCCTACTAGTATTTCTGAATTGATGCTGCTACTGCTTTATTGTGTATTAAGTATTTTCAATCCGTATCTTGGTTTGTGAAATGGTGATGTAGGAATATTTCATATTATATGTCGGGCAGTGTTTGCTGATTGAAGTCTGTGCGCATCTGTACCGGCAGCAACTTGTTGCCAGTGTTGTGCATTGTGTTGAAGTTGTGCCATGACATCGCGGCGTGTGAGGACTGTCTTTGTGAGTTGTGTTGTGATGCTGTTAAAGCTTTTGTCGGCTACGAGCGCACTTGTTGGAGCTCGGCAAAGAGATTTTCAACTTGTGTAATACACACACACTCACGGGACTGGATCATTTGGATGTCTATATTGTAGTGCACGTGTTTACTTTCTCGTGAGGTCATGTAAACATGGAAATATGCCCACTGCCCACGTCAAGGCATAGTGATGGGGTGCTAGCATGCATAGTGTGCACGGGCAGAATGCAAGGCCATGCACAGCAGCTGTTGTATTTCTTTGCATTGCTCATCACACCACTGCTGTTTATGAAGCCAGTGTGTAGAGTGTTGTAAGTGTACGTGGCTGTGACGGCTTCGCTCGCTCGGACTGCTTGTGTAGGTAGTGAACCTTGATAACATGGCGGCCGGCACTGTTGACGGTGGTAGACATCCGGACATTGAAACTTTGGGGATTTTCTGGTTGTGAGTCCCCATGTGGGTCTGTTATATGTGGGTATCGTAAGGATAGAACGTCGTAGTACCGTATGCGCAACTTCTCATGAAACAGATGCGCTCTGCACCAAACTGCCCAACACCTTCTGAACACTGCTAAAACTACAAGTCGCATTCTCCTCCTCTAGTCTCCCTAGACTTCGATAAGCAAACCAAGCTTTTGGATGTGTCGCCACTCTCTGACTACTAGTACTTGAATAACCTTCTGCAACTCCTCTCCATCTATGGCTGCAGCTGCAGCACTACTTGTCATCTCTTCGCGGGACCTGGTCACAGCTCCATGTCACAAACATCTCACAAACATGTCTTATTTGTACGTTGCAGTGTTTGACCATCTAATCCTGACACGTGTATATTGCCTGGACATAATAGAGAGATTCCGGAGTACGATTTTCCGCGCCAAAATCCGTAGAGGCGCTTCGAATTTTTTGTACGTCGTTTTCGAGTAGTGAAATGTTCCGGAGTACGGAAATTATATGTTTTCCGTCATTGCCTAGGTTACGATCGCAAACACGTCATTCCCGCGCTATGTTTTCATTTTGATAATTTGTTTCCATATCAAAACCTCCCGCGGAAAACCGATGTTTGTCGTACCAGATTTGTACGTGAAAATCTTCCTGCACTCGATGGCGCAAAATCTCCATCAAAACATGGTTCGTATGAAAGCCAGTCCACACCAAAAAATCGTATGAAGCACGCCTAAAACAAATGCGCAAGGCTCATATGAATTTTGGCACGGAGAATCGTACCCCGAAGCCTCTCTATTATGCTATTCTTCTCTGTGTGCGGTGGTGTGTTCTGCAGGTACGTGTTCTGGAATCGGTTGACACTGGTGATGAGCTGTCAACATTGTACGTCGAGGATATTTTGACTATAGTACGGGTGAGCAAGGAGGGGCTCGTTGTCACCAATCAGCTCTTGGAGGAGATGACATTGCCGCCGGACCTCAAATGCAAGTTCACGCCGCAGCTCGACCAGAAGTGGTACACCATGCAGGATTTGGTAGCATTCAAGCTGAGCGAATTCCCGATCCGTGTCCGCCTGACAGGTGCCGTGAATGGCTCAGCACGGCGTGGCCCTACCTACACTCTAGAAGATGTACGCCAAGAGGCTAACGTTCTGGCTCAGGTCAATAAAGAGCTTGTGGCCATTCCACTGGATATCGACGTGACTGTAGCACTGGTCGACGGCCGCATGCTAGCACAGTGCAAGTCGAAGAGCAGTGGACCACATTGATGTATGTGCAACCAGGTGAGTCAAACTTGTCAAGTTTCGCGAATGCATGAGCGGTGGAATTGGGGGGGGGGGGGCTGATCCCCCCCCCCTTCAGTTACTGTAAGACCACTAATGTTAACGAAAATTTAAATCTACAAGTAAAGTTTTAGCGAATTGAAATAATTCATTAAAATTTGAAGTTGTTATGTGCAAAACGATATGTACATAATTATACAGTCACTTGCCGGGTTTGACGGACAGTAATTCGTTAGCATTTCACCTCGCTAACCAACGAAAATCCGGAGATGGCTAACTTTAATTCACGTTAAAATGCCTGGTCTTACAGTATCTGTAAAGTCATGCTTTCACTGAACTACTCTGTAGAGAAGACTTTAAAAAATGTATGCGTACCGTAGTTCCGCGCATATAAGCCCATGGGCCTATATCCGGATATAAGCCCATGGGCCTATATCCGGATATAAGCCCACCTCCGTTTATAGGCCCATGGGCTAATAAACAGACCCAAACACCGTTACGGAACCGATAGTACAGCATGTCAGTGCAGACTAGATTACCAGTACCGGTACCTACGGTAGGCGGACAACCGCGCACGGACTTGTACTTTTTCGCGTGCCAGCTGCCTTCAAGATTCGAATATAGGCCCAGGGCTAAAAACGAACCATTTTTTTTCGGGAAAATGCATTATTTCGTATATTAGCCCATGGGCTTATATGCGCGGAACTACGGTAGCCCCACACTGAGTGGCAGAAATGCATTTCTCTAACTCCACGGTTCCTCCAAAAGCCTGGAATGCTCGTGAAAGGCGTGACTTGATGTCCTGGGTGGAGCAGCTACAGGTGTGAAGAAGTGAGCCAGGATATTGTGAACTCCTCGACACTCTCAACAGCACACATCAGGGTATGCTTCTTTGGTGCAGGGGAGCAGAGGAGAGCTGGTCTTTGTTTAAGTGGTGCAGTTTGTAGATCATAGATCACCAGGGCCCTATAGATTTGTTCTTGTACAGTTGAAGATCAATTACCATAGTTTCCGGAGTATAAGCTGCACCCCCCCCCCCCCCCATATTTGCAGCGACATACAGACATCTATCATCACCGTTAATTTGATCATCAGAGTATAAGGCGCTACCCCCCCCCCTTTTGGGGGGGGGGGGGTGAATTTTGAGTGTTCAAAATGCGGCTTACACTCCGGAAGATGCGGTATCTGACCACCTCTGCATCGACAAATAGCCTTGCATTGGGATACTGCAGATGTTCTGGATGGGCTCTGGGTTTGACAATGTACACCATTCGGGACCATGAGTGTGCATCGACTTACCCAGAAATGTACACACACATCTACTCTAGACCCAATATTGTAGACAGCAAGCTGTTTCGGCCATAAAGGCCTCATCAGTACAGTAAGCCGAGTTGCCAGCCATGGTGCAACGGTGGCACCACAGACATTCTAAAGACAACTCGTTGCTCTAGCGCCGGAGTGCTCAAACTACGAAAGGTAGCGAGCGATGCGTAATGCAGCAGCACTAAAGCAGCCTACCGAGAGTGCTCAACAAGATGAATGTCAAGGAGCGAGATATACTTGTTCCCAAGCAGCAGTCGCACAAGCACAACTCTCGGCGCTATGCAAGTACGTACAGTGATGCCGTACGCTGCTTTGTACATGTGTGTGTGTGTGTGCGTGTGTGTGTGTGTGTGTGTGTGTGTGTGTGTGTGTGTGTGTGTGCGTGTGTGTGTGCGTGTGTGTGTGCGTGCGTGTGTGTATGTGTGTGTGTGTGTGTCATTCTTTTAGATAAAGATTGCAAGTTGAGGACTTCAGGAAATGACCAATTATTTAACAAACGTCTCGGGCATTGTGTATGCTGAACTGTATGCCCATTACAGAATGGATCCAACCATGCATTGTCTGGCAGCTATGCTGGATTATTTGAAGAATGTAGTGTCGAACATTTCAATGTGTTCTTGACCTAGTTTCCAAACCCTTGGTACATGTAGCTTTTTTTTGTAGCGACCTTTCACTTTAATTGCGCTCTTTTATTTGATGGTTGGTGTTTGCGCATGCTTGAAACACCAGTTCAGCTGATATAAGCCCTGGTTCCCTCTATATTTTACGGTGCTTTTGGATAGCGAGCCTCGGATCTAGCATAGGATACTCATACCGTACTTGCGCCCATCCACAGTCCCCTTGTGTGTGACTACCGCCCCGCTTTCGCAGTGCAATTGCAAAGCAAAAATGTTTAATGGTATTAACATAACTAACTTTAGTTCTTTTTAGCTACCACACACATACATGCATTAGTGAATAACAGTAGTAATTGTAAGCTCTTACCAGTACCAATGTGAATCTGATTGTCCGAGTGCGGTACTCGTGTGGGAATATAATGAATGTGCCCTCCTAGTCCTAGAGCTTTTGTAGCAAGTCGGCGAAAGTGTCTAAAAGGACGTTTTTGAATTTTGGTCACGATTGAAATGTTACTTTGTACTGCACTCTTTACCCAACGTATTTTTAAAAAGGACGATTTTTTTTACACTTTCGCCATCTATTAGTATTTTGAAGGAGAGATCGCAGCTGCGTACATGTACATGTACCATCAAGAGTCCACATCACGGTTCACCCCGCGAGCGTGTGCAACTCTGATCTCCGAACTATGGGTGCCCTGTGTGGCGCAGCAGCCTTCATTATGCAGCGAAATGATGATCAAGCTGCCTGGACGTTTGAGTTTTGAAACTTTTCCTTTGGTTTAGCCGGTACGGTTTCACATGTAATCCGGTCAATTCAAAATCAATTCGCATCGTGTACAAAACCATCCCAAGTCTGCGAGAAAAGCAGACTTGGAAACAGGAAACTGTAGCAGATCAATATTGACACAATGGCCCATCAGATTTTCAAATAATTGGCCACAAATGTTTGGAATGTGAAGTATGCAGTGTCTTCAGTGTGCCATGCACTGTATAAGTACAAATTTTCGTTCACGAAATCTTTTGTTAGATCACTCCACCAGCAGACTTGTTATGTACTAAATTTCGTTTTTGGTCGAGGTCTGTCACCCCGAACGTTCAGAACAAAAACTTTAGTTTGGTACAAACTTTAGTTATTTCGTGCCCCCTAACGAATACAACATGATTGTATACAATTCATGTACATGTATATTATTATTATTATTAAAAGCATGTCCGCGTAGGTGGCGGGGGTGCCACTTTCGCCAAGAGTCCATAACCCCCCAGAGTGTGCAACTCCAGGTTGGGGTCTGGCGCAACGAAATCCAAACATTGCGTCATCCAGTCCATAGTCAAGCATGGGCGGATGGGGCCATGTGCATATCTGGTACATCCGCTACTCACTACATGACGTATGAAGTTTGGATTTCGTTGCGGCACTGATTTGTGCTGAGAAGGATCACGAGTTGCACACTCTGAGGGGTTATGGACTCTTGCTTTCGCTTATGCCATTCAGGATTGATGTCTGAAGAGTAATACGATACAATGAAATGACAGAAGTGACGTCAACAAAAGCCGTTAGCAACAATACCAATAATTATGACTAATTGAAAACTTCATCCAAAGTATAAAATAAAATAGAATATGCATACAACATGTCTGGTCAGTCCTGTTAGGTGGGGCGGGCTCCACGCCATGCCTGTCGGTCCGCTGCCATTGAGCGGATGTACATGTAGCGAAAGTTAATTCCAAACGAAAATTTGTACTTATACTATGACAGAACAGAACAACAAGGACAATCAAGGCTTGTTTGCTGCGACTTGAAGTACTTATACTATGATGTAGTGATGAAGTGGCCAAAAAAAGTAGCTGGTGCACCATCAATATTGTGGAGTAATGAGCACCCCAGAATTGGACATTTTCGGGATTTTTGCTCAAATTACCACTTATTTTGCTCAAAATGGGCCATTATGAGAAATTGGCCCGAAATTTTCGCTGATTTTTTTACAAATCAACTCTACCAAAATTTAATTAATGTAAATACATGTCATGTACAAGTAAAACCAAAAAAAGTGACTGGACAAGTGACATCCTGCAAGAGCAGTCTCATCCTCGATCGGGCATCTAAAGGACTCGTAGCTCAGGTAGAGCTAGCTTTGACGAAGCCTTGCGGCGTTTTGGCGGTAGGTCTTATTAGGGTACCCTGTAAAAAGGCCTTAGGCCTGTGCATGTGGGGATTGCCCTATTCATAATTTAAAATAATAATAATAATAATAATACCCTGCCATGATCACTTTGATCAGCTAGTTTGAGTCGGACACTGCAGGGTAAGACCTACCGCCAAAACGCCGCAAGGCTTCGTCAAAGCTAGCTCTACCTGAGCTACGAGTCCTCGCACTAACAAGTAGTAATTAAATTAATAGTGTAGCGGCAATCACCAACTGGCTAAGCTAAATCCATCGCCGTGTCCGCATGTTGCACGCTCGCTATGTCTCACTGATCACCGATCACCGCCAGGCACAAATCGCGAACATGTATGTGTGGGTGAAGAACGGAAAGATGGATCAAACACAACCGCGGCATCAGCCCGGAGCAAGTGTGAACATTCGAGGGCGTCCATATGCATAGGTTACAAAGTGACAGTGAAAATTAGTTATGTCGACAAGACTTCGTGAGAAAGAAACACATCGGCTACCTGCATGCAGTGCATGCTACAACCAAGTAACCACAGTCCGTGGTGGCCAGGATGTAGATTTCTCGACTGGTGTGGCCTGTGAGTCGCTGTGACCGGCCGTGCACTCATATTTGGCGCGACTAACGCCCCATAGCCATCCCGCGAATGATCTGGTTTCAACACGCAGTTCACCGCCAAGAAGGCTGTACATCTGTACATGTGATGTATAAATTTGGCATTGTCGAACTAACTTTGTGAAGAAGAGATTGGTGCGACTTCGGCGATATATAGTAGGGGAAGAGTGTGTTGCTCCCCGAAACACTGTGTGTTGAGCAGGGAGTGGTGCTTTCTTGTAGGTTTGCCGAGTGGACGGTTCGATGGACTTCTCGTGTGCTCTGGATGGCAGTCGTGAGTCAGTCAAGTGAGAATTCAAGTCGGCAGGAAAACCGCGAGCTCCCATGTAGGGAGCAACACACTCTTGTCGAACTAACTAAGTTACTTGGTCACATTATTACCGCTACTGCACTGATTTGGGAAGGCAAAGTATGAAGGCCTTATCTGTGGAGTCGTTGTTACTTGTGCGCCGGAATGTCTTCCTCCAACCAACTCGCTATTCAAGCAGCAGAAGTAACGGAAGATCCGAGAGTGCAAGTGGTGTGGATAACACTGACCTCGACGTCGGAACGGTTTCTCATGTCATAGTAGATGTCTAGCTGCGCCCGTGGTCCCAAAGACATCAGTCGACGTCTGCAACAAGCTGAAGGCCAAGTAAGTGAGGCCGGAACTCGCAGCTCCAGTCGCTCGGTGGTTCATCTATGATCTAGGACAAGAGCCATCCGGTGTGTTTCCGACCGTTTCAAGCAGGTGCGGGTTGGCTTAGAATCGGTGAGTAACCATGGTAACATTGGCATTGCTCTACACTGTAGTTGTTCATTCTTGACTGGGTATGAGTCCCAAGTAAACTGGCCTAGCCTTGGTAAAGTAACACGTAAGTCCTAACGACGTCCTAACGTAACAACGTCGTTAGTTGGCCATTGATCGAATCCGGCTCCAGCACTAACAATGCATATGCATACCGTATTATCTCTAATATAAGCGCGGTCCTTTATTTTTTCAATGTACCTCCGCCCCGTGCTATTAATGGAGACGTTCCTTTATTGGAGACTGTTCCATTATTATTTCAACCTCATTTCGGAAGCATGTTGCCATGCCAAATTCATGTATGACACACACATTTCAGGGTTTTTTGCCGGTACAGATAATGAATTTACACAGTGTGCTTATAATGGAGACTGAGCACTTTATTTTTTGAATGCCGCCCCAAGGTGTTCTATTATTGGAGACTGTGCTTATATTAGAGATAGTGCTGAAACGATTATATCGATTACTCGTTACTTACTCGATAAGAAATAGATCGAACGGTTATTTCGATTTTATCGGCTAAACGAGTAGAATGGTACTTACACTCGGTACGGGATTTCCCCCTTTTGGGGGTCGCACAAAGCGTGCATGCATCGAAAGTGTTGCGAGTACGACACGAATATGTACATGACTGTACACTTGCAACATCGATGTACGTGTACCGTCACCGTCTTTTGAGCTGACTATATACGAGCTCGTACTTTTCTTACATACAGCATGCAGGACGGGCAGGCTCAGTACGTGTCTACACTACTGTCACTAGCTGCAGGGGCTGGAGTTCCCTCCATGTGCAAGTAGTCTTGAGCTAAAGACAGTAAAGTGGTCTTCAGTTCATGTTTTCCATTCTGTCTACGGTTCCCGAACCAGTTTGCTTGACGACGAGCTAGGCCTGGCGTCTGGGCCTATTTTGAGCATAGACAGCAAAAGCAACTAGTTACTTGTTGCCTTGGTGCGCCTCAAGTCAGCTTAACCGTCGAAATCCGCCAATCTGCACCCCTGGCCGGCTTCTCTGACTTCATCGTCGGAGACAGCGAAGTCACAGGCGAAGGGCACCATCAGCTCTTGGGTTGCAACCAGTGAATTGCCTCTGTCTTGTCTGTATTCGTCTGGTCAGTCCGAACAGCTGACGGACTTGTTGCGAGATCATCAGATCTATGCGCCCGCTTTGGAGTTTCCGTCGTTGGCGATGTTGGACTCGTAATTTTTTTGAAATTCACAGAATGTACATGTACTGATGTAGTTACAAAACGAAACTCCATCAAACCCACCCACCCACAAACGAAAACATTTCGTTTTGAAAATATTGTTGGTAACCTTGGACGGCCCCTAATTAGAGATAATACGGTATTTGACATGTACAATGGATATTGATAGATTCCGGCAGACATGGCACGTGCTTGTTGCCAGTGTCCAAGCCAATGAACAGAGGGGGTCTTGCCCGCCTATTCTGTAAGAGATATACAGCGCAGCTTCTTTTCTCGCCCGCGTATCGGGGCAAGAGTAGCAGCAAGAGTAGCAGCTACACAAAACTGATCACATGTGTACTATAAAGTACAGTGCTGCTCAATGAAATCCAGTTGAGCAGTTGAGCAGTTGAGCAGTTGAGCAGTCGAGCGGTCGAGCGGTCGAGCAGTCGAGCAGTCGAGCGGTCGAGCGGTGGAGCGGTGGAGCGGTCGGGTCGGTGGAGCGGTCGGGTCGGTCGGAGCGGTCGGGTCGGTCGGGGCGGTCGGGTCGGTCGGGGCGGTCGGGGCGGTCGGAGCGGTCGGAGCGGTCGGAGCGGTCGAGCGG